TCTCTGTGGCTGCACCACAGAGATGAACAGAGAAATGGGGCCTCATTTGGGAAGCTCAGAAACACTTAATTCTGCCTTATTATTAAGCCTCGCCGCTACACATCCCACAATTGCAGTCATCTAAGAACTTCTGCAGGTGGCATGACTTTGAGTTGTATTTGAAGTCCGAAGTATAGAGGATGAAGAGGAACGGAGAAAGAACTGTCCCCTGAGGAGCCCCTGTGTTACTTACTACCTGTTCAGACACACAGTTCTGAAGTCTCACAAACTATGGTTTGCCTTTCAGATAGTCGGTGATCCATGAGATCATGGAGGTACCCACTTGCATCTCCTCCAGCATCCTCCCTAGCAGTAAGGGCTGGATTGTATTGAAGGCACTGGAGAAGTTGAAAAACGTAATCCTCACAGTGTTGCCAGCCTTGTCCAGGTGGGAGTAAGCCCTTTGCAGCATGTAGATGATTGCATATTCCACACCAACACTGGGCTGGTAGGCGAACTGTAGGGTGTCCATTGATGAACTGACCAGGGGTCTCAGGTGGGACAAGACCAGCCTTTCCAGTGTCTTCATCCTGTATATCCTAAGCTGTATTTATTTTTCTACTAATGTGTTTTTAGAAAAAAATGTTACACTCCTTTTTAAAAAAAAATAAAAATAAGGGAATTAAAACATGAATATGGATAAATATAAATGAATAATATTAATACATAGTGTAGATAAAAATATTTTCAAATCACAGAACATTTTGGAACTGTAGTTTGTTCTATATAGTGCCTTGCAAAAGTATTCAGACCCTTGTACAGTTTTCATATTTTGTTGCTTTTAAAGCAATCATGATTTGCATTAGCAATTTGTTAAAAAAAAAACAAAATGAAGTGAATAGATAATGTTAAAGAAAGACACCATTGCACATATCCCAATCACTTAACGCTTTACTGCAGCAAACTCAAATAGTTTAGGTGCAGGAAATTACCTTAATGTGCCACACTGCTAGTTGAGCAGCCTCTGTATGCAATAATAGTGGTTCTCATGATTTGGGGATGAAAAACACCTATCCTTGTGAGGTTCCTTGAATTTCAAGTAAAGACCCAACCATGAGGACAAAGGAGGAAGTCAGGGCTGTATGTGCTGACAAAGGTGCTATCATGAAACATTGTGTTCATGTTCACATTTTTCTGTTTTTTTTTCTAATATTTATTGTAACCTATCTTACCCTTAGAAGTCTTTAGTTTGAACATTCAGATTTTGAATTAAATATTAAAGCTTGAAGTGCTCTATAATGGTACTGCTAAAGCATAAGAAAATAAGTGGCTGTCACACCATGATTACCTCTGTTCTATGATACAATAATATGATAATGTTTTCTGATTTATCAGAAATTAGTTTTGCATCTAAATTATATGATGGAGACAATTGGAAGCAATTTCAATCTGGAACTGTCTATATGATTTATTAGCAGCTAAAATGGATCAACTAATATACCCAGGTTATACCCACTAAGACTACCATCCAGTTCTGTCCCAAATATAAATGACTAGGAGAGGATTAATTTTATATACAGTATGTGTGTAATTTAAGTAGGGATAAGGCCAGAGGACCACTTGTGGAAGATGTGAAAACAAATCAGCCACTGGATGAAAAAGTAAGGCGACATCCTATGGTATCCCCTAGGTGTGGAGTCTGGGACATAAAATATAAACGCCTAGAGAACCAAATAGATCCTAAAGCACACCATTTTATTATAATAAAAAATCATGTCAACTACAGTTGAAAAACTTTTTTTCAGAAGACCATGGTAAATAAGTGAATGACTAAAGAGTAGTAAATAAAAAAATACTACACATTGGTGAGAATTTGTGAAATTTCATTTTAGTGTGAAGAAAGCAGTTGATATGTTTTTCAAAAAGTCCAGTGGATTCCAAAACAGTTCCCCAGTAGAAGAGTCTGGTTTGATTTGTTCTTCCTCACTGGGGTGCCAAGAAAACAATATACAGCCAAGTTTTGAAGGCCCTTAACTGAAAAGCTCATTAATAATATATGAAATTAGGGATAGCCAATCCACCATCATCTTTAGGATGCTGTGAATTATACGTGTGACACAGTAAAGCTGCTCTCTCAACCAAATAAAATGGGATTTAGTTTGCTCTTGAAATTTTGGTTAAATCGGGATCATAGAAGATAAAAATGGAAGTACTGTATATTTATTTCTACAGTGGATATCATACCATATAGTATGCTCTGTAAAGATGACCATCTCATTAAATCATGTTCTGGAAGTGAGGTTAAATTTCAATGTCAAATTAAGTAAAATCTGTTGAATGTGACTGAATGGGGATCTCAGAGGGAACTGATGTAAAAATGCAGTGAAACATGGAGTTCTTGCTCAACCACTCTTGGACATTTTTTGTTGTCCATCAGATTTGGAAAACTGGACTCACTACAGATTCCCCATGAACAGAGAATGGTCTCTGTTTTGTGTACGTGTACAATAAACATGCTACACGGCACTCTGCATACTCCATAAAATATATAAACCAATTCATTTATTAATTTTAATTTTTTTCATGTCTGACTTCCAAAATTCCGCAGTCCACCTGTTCATATCTGAAGGCAAATGAAGATCCCATGGCACAACCAGTTGAGAAAAGTGGGTTTAAATGATAGCCACATTCATTCTCATTTGAAATCATTGACACATTCTACAGAAGCTGTGTGCTGGATGCCAGGGACCACATACTGCATCTATTGTGCTGTAATATTTTTGAAGTTTCTTTAATGCAGATTGACATTTATGATGAGCTTCATGTGGGTGGCATGGTGGTGCAGTGGTTAACATTGCTACCTTGGAAAGTTGGGGCTCTGGGTTCAATTCTGGACCTGGGGATCTTTTGGCATGAAGTTTGTGTGGGTTCCCTGTCTGTGCTTGGATTTTAACTCACAGGCCAAAAACATAGTAGGTTAATTGGCTTCTGGGAAAATTGGCCCTGGTGTGAGTGTGTGTTTGTGTCTGTGTGTGCCCTACAATGGACTAGTGTCCTGTCCAGGGTGTATCCTGTTGTATGCCTGTTGCTTGCTGGTTCAGGGTCCAGATACCCTGAATCAGTGAAGCGTTTAGAAAAAAAGGATGGATGAGCTGCATGTATTATCTATGTTTGCAAAGCTACCCCTGAGTGTATACTGCGTGAAATTTGTGTGTACTGTGTCCAACTTGTTCTTTCAAATAAACAGGAACATCTAATGAGTGGCATTGTTTTTTATTCTCTTTTCAAAGATGGAAGATGGCCAGACCCTGTTTGACTATAACGTGGGCCTGAATGACATTGTGCAGCTGCTCATCCGTTCACAGACTGACCCACCTGATGCCCAGGGCAAGAAGAAGGAGAAAGATGTCACTGGCTGCAGTTCGGGGACCCTAACCAGCAACAACAATGGGAACAAGTCTCTAAGTCCGCAGCTGGACAATCAGCCCTCTACTTCTGCACGCACTTTTCTCATTGACCCTGGCATTGGCGTGTATAAGGCAAGTGTGTGCCCTATTTCCTAATGTCTTACCTGCATTTTGACTTGATCAAAGGGAAGGCCCTGCAGCTTGGAAGCAGATCTGATAAGATCTGTGTTGCAAAGCCCAGAACCTTTGTAGAACATATCTAATTTGTATCTTGGAGGCTATATTAAGCCCGTATGTTTGCTGCATGTTTTACATTTTGATTTTCAGCACTGCAGTCATGGGTTACCAGGGGAGGTTTAATGTATAAAACAATGTTTATATTGAAAATTTCTTTTAGTCTGGTGATTAGAATTACTACAGGAAAAAATGCTTCCCACATCTTAGGATCTATTTAATTTTTTTGCTGAAATGAAGTAAAATAAATGTTTAATACCCCATTTTCTGATGACTTCTAATACAAAGCTCTGTTCGTTAAATCCTGTTTTTTTTTTTTACCTTGCGGTAAGTCAACACACAGTTATCCATGGTGAAAGTAAGTTTTCCGTTCCAACCTGGGAAAGGAAACTTGAGGGCTGTTACTGATGAATACCTTTTTAATGTAATGACCAGATTTATTATATACGGTGGAATCTCACACCAAGGAGATCTCATGGCTAACCTCCTGGCTAATTTCTTTATTTTTTTCATTTCCTTTCATGCTGGCACTCAGTTTTCAATGACATAATAATATGCAAATGCATAGTTCTTGGATTAATGTCTTAAATATTTGGTCATATTATTTACAAATCAGTTTGGAATTAAAGTATTTTTCTGTTCTTGAAGTGCACTGTCCCTTGTTAAGCAGAGAGCTTAGGTACAACTTGAAAGCTGAGGTAGTATGTCACCTAGACTATTTAAAATGTACCTTTCTTTGATTTCAAGTTAAGTTCAAACAACTGTGCAACACAGAAGTGACTTAGGATATCAATAAAAGAAAAATAAGATACAATTTTTGGCCATTTCTCATTTCTTACCACTCTTTTTTTGTCTTTTGTTGTAAAGATAATCTTTATCTTCCAGCTGAAAGCATGGAGTACCACAAGCATTTCTTGCATCTCAGCTGCTATTCTTTTTCTAAAGGAGGTGCTCTCTTTTTTATATTTTATCTAATTAGTACAGCTTACATCTCATTGTTTATCTGGATACCAGTCAATTAAGAAACAATAAGAATTCATGACATGACATGAGGTGTGAAAAAGACCAGAAAGAAATTAGGGACAGTTAGAAAACAGGAGAGAGAACGGCACAGCCCAATACTTGCAATTCTCACATATTAGTGGCCCTGAGGCACCACGCAGTCAACACACAGCTAAAAGCCTAGGATTATACCTGTTACAGCCAGCATGCTGTTAGCCAGACTGAAAGCAAATGTGCAAATGGTGAATCTCGCATGACGAAATTCTTTTAGTCAAACAGGTTATTTTGTCTCGTCTTAATTCACTCTTAACTGAAATGCAAAGCAGTTTAGTCTTCGTCATCTTCATTGTGGATTATTTTTGTGAGAATTTCGTCTTTGTTAACTAAAATGAAAAAAAGCTCAATTGCCGAACATTTTCGGCATAATTTCCGTAGATGGAATAAACTGCTGCTAGGGTTGTGCTCTCACAACATCTAATTGATTACAGGTTCTCTTCCTCTTCCATGTTTGAGAAGGTTCTTCTCCAGTGTTGCTCATTTTACACAAAAGTACTTTTTCCTTGCTGTATTACACTAATGGGAATTTATTGCCAGCAATAAATAAGTACATAGTCCTGTGAACAAATATCTACAATGCATTCAAGACAGATCTTTCTCCCTGTATTTTTACAGAATATAAAGATACAGAATGAACAGGCACTGACAGGAGGATGTTAAATGTGTTCAATGATTATTTTTTGCCCTAAGAATTCTGTTTTCTTTTCTGGTGTACAGAAGTGTAGTTAACTTTCATACTGAAAGGTCTTTCTGTCCCCCTGGGGACTGGTATCTTTGTTTAGGAAACTGAGAGAGTGGCGTACACTCAACATAAAGTAGCTTAACTGTAAATTGATTGCTAGAACCCCCAACACCGCCGTCACCTTTAGGATGATTGCTGGGAGTAAGAAGGGTTAAGACCAGAGGAAAAAACAAGATCAGAAATATCTCGAAAAGCAATAACTTGTGCAATTCAACAATTAAAGTATAATAATCACCATTGTGCTCACTCATAAATTTCAAGGTTTCTGCCTTCAAGCTGCAACCCATTGCAGGTCATCAAAAAATGTATATCCTCGAAAAGCAACTATATAAAGTATACTAAATAATAAAGTTGTATTATTCTCCTCCTCTCGCTACTGTCTTTAACTACAGTTTCTTTTGAAAAACTAGAAAGGCATCTTCATGTTCCTTAATTGAATTTTTTGGGTGAAAAAGATGTCAAAAACATATGCTCAATAAAGAAACCAAAAGGCTGATGACGGCTGACAATAAACTTTGTTTTATAATTCTGGGTATTAAATCTGGACTGAATTGTCAACTGAATGGAGTTCTGACAACTTATGTTGCAAAAACTGTGCATTGTAAGCTGGAATACAGGTGCAAATGGAGCATCTTAATATATCCTTGACATTTGTTAACTTTGAAACATGCATTACGTATAACGCCCTTAAAATGCTATGTTTTATAGTTTCTATACTGCATTGCTTAATGATAATACATAGTAACTCACTGACTGACTGCCAGGGTACTTGCTGGGTTATGGAAAATGGAGATGTCATATTACATATAACATGACCTACACTGTACCTTGGATGTACAATCTTCAATATGATCCAAATATACATTAATGTAGTAATGAAATAAATATGCAACCATAAAGTGAGACATACATTTCTTAATTTTTTCTCACTTCATTTATTTTGTTCTTTCAAAGACTTCAAACATTGAACATTAAAACAAAAACTCCCTGTTAAGTATATAAAAGTTGAAATTAGTCCTCCACAATTCTACTAACTCATAAATTCCACAAATTAACATTAGTATTTTGCATTTTTTCAAATATGCCTAACACAGGATTGTGGTTGTATTATTTTTTGCTTTCTCATCTTCACATCTGCTTTCACATCACTTTAGTCTTATAGTTGTTGATAGTATATATAATTGTGTGCAAAAGTGTAGGCACCTCTGGTTATATTGTGTTTCAGTGAATCTCTAAGTGAACAGAAGGTGATACAACTTTTATGGGGTTAAAAAATAAACCCAACAACTTTCTGCAAATTGTAATTGTTATTTATATGCTGATTTTAACAGATTGAAATTTGGACACCCTTCCAATTGATTCATTACTACTTTTTGAATTTGTTTTTTTCAAGAGCCCCATAACTTGACTTGATAAATGAAATCAGGTGAAGACAACTCCTGGGTCTTACCCTTCTAACTTCTTAGGTTTTGATTGTTGATCTGTCCACTTCCAACAACCATAACCATGGGCTCCTCTAAACACCAGTCTGAGGATTGAAAATAAAGATAATTCCCTCTTAAAAAGTAGGGGAAAGTTCTCTTTTTGCTTCCAGCTTGCACAATTTCAACTGTCAGAAAGATCATTAAGAAATGGAAGTTAAAGGGAACTGTTGAAGTCAAGGCAAGATGTGGAAGACCCAGAAAAATCTTTGATTGATGGGGGTGGATCTGTTATGGTTTGAGGTTGTGTGGCAGCCAGTGCACAGGAAATATTTTACGGGTGGAAGGAAGAATTAATTCAACTAAATATCAACAAATCCTAGACGCTGATGTCCCAGAGTCACTGAAGAAATTGAATCTGAAAAGAGGTTGGATGTTTCGACAGGACAGCGATGCGGAACATACCTTTACATCAACTGTGAAGTACTTACAGAATCAAAAGATTAAGATTTTGAAAGAATATTTCTGAGCTAGAAGAGTTCTGTAAGGAAGAGTGGGAAAAAAATCCTAAAGCAAGAAAGGAAAGACTCTGGCTACAGGAAATGTTTGGATAATGTGACTTCTGCCAACGGATGCATTACTAAGTACTGATTGACATGGTGCCCAAAAGTTTGCACATACCATATTCACTGTTTTATAATTTTGAATATCTAGAAAACTGTAAATACTTATGCATTATAATTTACACAAAGATGTCATATTTAAATTTATATAGGTTTTGTCAGCTTCTTTTCACTTTGTATGAAAGTATGAACTGAAACATACAATTTGACCAGGGGTGCCTACACATTTGGAAACAACTGTACACTGTTTTTAGATTTGGTACATGTGCACTGTGCAAGCATGGAAAGCACACTGGTTTAACAGTAGTGCAGCATTACCCCTCATTTCTGCCTGTGTTTTTAGTGAGGCCAAATTGATGGATGCTGATTATGAAATTTGTGCTTAAAAGTTGGGGTCTCAAACTCAATTCCTGAAGTTCTAAGTCTCTTTTGGTTTTTGTTCTGTCTGAGCTGTCAGTTACATAGTTCTAATTATTTAGTGAATTGCATGATTGTAATACTTTGAATCGGGATTCGATGTGACACATGTACCTTTAATGAAGTGAATGTTTTCATTCAAATTTGAAAACGCTTAAGAAATATACAGTCTACCTAATAAACAAATAGTTTAATTGACTACTTACTGTGGGTTCGAACATAAAACAAGGAGACGAGTTTGATAGTCATGCATAAGGTGAATTATACATTATCAGCACAAATGTAGAAGAAGAAAGACCTAAACCAAATGAAAATGAAAGAGCTAAAAATGTTACTTTTAAGTAACATTTTTAGCATTTTTTTAAATTCTTTTGGGACTCACCATTGGAAACTGTTATTTTACTTTATCACTTCCCTTGCCTAAAGTGTCATCTATGGGCTCTTGTGTGCTGTGTCTCCAGCCTTGTTATGTATTAAAATGTTCTCTTTGTAAAGTTGCCGAGTTGCTAGGTTAGTCTTTTTGGGTGCAATAAAGCTGCAGTACAGTGCTGTGGATCTGTGCTGAAGACTTGCTTACTAATGTCCTACTAGTGTTATAGTCATATTATGTATTGGATCATCTCAGGCATTCTTTTA